TACAAATTTAAGCACGATTAATAGGATTATCATATTACTGATGAAATTGTGAGTTTTCTACATAACGCGTATAAAATTCTCAATAAATAAATACTTTTACCTAGTGTCAAAATTTTCAGTTCTTGTAAAGACTCGGTTAATAATAATAATAATAATAATAATAATAATAATAATAATAATAATAATAATAATATTGCGGCTTTCCAAACCTCATTCGGATTATAGACTATCATTTTCATTCATAGTAAGGTACATTTACACCTCGCATTACGTATGCACAGTAGTGGCTGATGCTGTTCTACTGTACATGTTCCGTTGACTGTTCGCAGTTGCCCATTAAGTAGTGTAGTAATATTTGACTTTAGGGATTAAATTAGCTTCATTCCTCGCTATTACATATTTAATGTAAATTAATTAATGTAAATTACTTAAGTATATCGTGACATATTCTCATTATAACAAAATATTGGAAAGTAATTAATAATATATCCTTCAATGAATCAAATTTTTTTAACATGATTTTTTTTATCTATTTTGAAAGTTAATTTTCTTTCTAACTATCCATTACTGATATAATATAATAAATTTATTGAATGAAAAATGAATGAATTAAAAAATAAATAAAACATATTACCGAAAACTACCAGTTTAGATAAAATAAAGAATAAGCAAATATTATTCAAACTGATATTTTTCCTTGAATTTATGAAGCAAATCTCTAATATCTGTAGCAACTGATTACTTAAATACAAAAATTAAATTTTCCATTTTTTTTTTATTAATATGTAAAAATATATTGAAATTAGATAAGCAATTTTGGAAAATCAGAAAAACCAGGAATAAAATGCTTTCAGTGAGTATATTCCTATTTCTGATTCCTGTTCCGCTAACAATAAGATCAGGTCCTGTTTTTTCCTTTACAATCAAAAATAGATACAGTACGTGAACTTAATATGTCATATTCATTGTTTCAAATATTTCTCTAATTTGATCAAATTCAAGAACTTTAACCTAGGCAGATCAAATATGTTCGAATTCTATCAAATTGTTGATATCGGCAATCACCTACACGATAACGTTGATGATGCAATTAGCTTGTATTGTAACGTACGACTTAGGAATTTAAATATTAGAACCTAAATTTACTCATTTGGTTTTGCTAAATACTAAATTGTGTTTACATTATACTACGGTAAAAAGTAAATTCTGTTTACATTATATTGCCGTATAATGTATACCTAATTCCTACTATTATTTATAAGGTGATCCAGGTACATGTAGCTATAGAAATATCAATTACAAAATGTTGCTATATAATGCATATAATCAATCACATCCTGACCACAAAATATTTATACGCATTTTAAATTAAATATGCAATTACTAACATTGAAATAGATTTAAGCAAATTTTATTTCAACCAGTTTCCGCTCGTTAATTAATCTAATCTATTTACCTCGACATTTTCTTGACAAAGTTTTTCCAAATTAAACAATTTCCTGTACGCATAAATAACAAATTTAATAAAATTGAATATTCTGTCACTTTATAAATTATTTACATTGATGTATTTACATCCTCTAACAGTAATATGATCAGGTATTTAAATTTAATTAGAATTATGCAATTGTCTGCAAGGTGTAACTGATTTATAATCTGTACATGCCTGTGCCATTAGTCAATAATACATATTTTGAAAAATATGGTGTCTGTAATCGAAAGGCAGCATCAGTGGTGAATAACGTCGCTGTTACGTTTCGTTATTTGGTCCTCTACTTAACAGTGGTGAGGTTTTATGGTTTGCATATATTTTAAGGCTCTTTAGTTGATTAACTTTATTGCGACATGTATTACATTTTTAACCTAGTGCCCTAAAAAATAAAGTCGTAAATTGCTTTTAAGGCCAGAATTTAAAAGATGAAAGTATTGTTTATTTTTCTTTTGCTATTTATAAAACAAAATATAAGAAAGAACGTATATATTTTGGCGATTGTATATTTAAGATAGACATTGAAAAAACACGTCAATTTAGTCATTGTACGTAATTTTTGTAATTTCCACTATGTTGACTTATTTTTAGAAAATTGCATAAACTCTTCCTATTAATATTAAGCTGATTTTTTTATTTGCGAAATATTAAATCTCAGCAGTGACTATGTGGTCAACCTCTTGACAAGTTATCATAACTGCAATTAATAAAAGTTTCTTTTCTGGTTCAGTTTATACTTGAGAACTATAAGGAATATATAATGTGCATTCCAAAGCAAACAGGACTTTTTAAAAATAAGGACAAATAAAAGTATTTTTGGCAAAACTAATTTATTTTTTTCAAAAAGAAGGGGACTACCCTTTCGACTCAATACAGCGGTTTGCAGGGTCCAAAAGCATGTCGAATGAGTGACTTCGAATGAAGATCGTCGGGCGGGATGTTCTTGAGGCTGTCGGTACAAGCCTTTGGGTTGGCTTCTACGCCCACAAAATGCTCTCCTTTCGTCAGTCAATGCCTTCTCCGAGAAGGTAAAAATCGCGCGGTGCGAAATCAGGCGAATACGGCGAATGGTTGGAAGTTAAAATGCGGTTTTTAGTAAAAAATTCGGTCACAAGTGTCGATCGATGAGATGGTGCATTATCATGTAACAAACGCCTACTTCCAACACTTCAAAACCACGAACTTCGTCGATGGATATCTGGGAAACCGCTTGAAGGATTTTTCTTTGAAATTGTGGTGGTGTGGTATGGACCATGGGGCCTACCAAGTTAAAATATTTTCAAGGTCATCGTACTTCCGACTATACCGGAAGTTGATATAAACTTTCTTATTTTAAATGGAAATGGAATTTTTTAAGGTTTAAAACATGATTTTAGCTCTAAAATATGCACATATCGCCCGTCGCTTTCGGATATTATTGCATTTTTGGAAAGAGCATTTATTTTTAAATTGAAAACATATAGCACACTCCATACTCAGGATTGACCGTTTCCGAGATATTTTGATTTTTAAACAAAAATTGAGAGATGCAGGATGTCAGCATTTAATTTTCCTGGAAATATAGGTTTATTTTTTTGTGCAAATTGGACATTTTGTAGAGGAATATATAATTTATCGGATTTAACATGAAAATTTTCCAGTTTTTATACAAGGTGGCCAAAAAATGATTGAATATGAAGTTCAGAAAATGTGAAAAACTCGAAATTTTTAAATGGAAACCCCCAATTTCTTAACATATTCGCATTCTGCACTAAAATTGAATATAACATTGTTAAAGTTTCCATATACCTAAACCCAGTCGTTTTCATTTTGTTTACGAATTTCCCTTTTCCTAAAATGGTGTTTTCATTTGTTCCGCACATTTTAGGTTGGCCGTGAACAGGTAAGTAACAATCAACATGACAACTGTCACAGGTTTTTAATTGTTAAATTTATTTTAATAAATGTTCAAGATGTCTTCCTTCACACCTATGGATTAGTTCCTTGTGGGTCGCTGCTCTAATAGAATCCGGTGATCAATCAATCGTCAATGAATGAAGTTCTTGCCTTATTATATGCATACCATTTTCATTTGTTGTTACTGGAGTACTATACACACTATTTTTTAGCCTCCCAAAATAAAATAGCATCTATCACCGGATTATTAGAGCAGGAACTAATCCGAAGGTGTGAAAAATGTTTAGAAGTTGAAGTAAAACATTTTGAACATTTATTAAAATAAATTTGACAACTGAAAAACTGTAACGGTTGTCATGTTGTTTGTTCCACCTGTCACGGCCAACTTAAAATGTGCGAAACAAATGGAAACACCATTTTAGGAAAAAGGAAATGTTTAGTCGTAAATAAAATGAAAACTGGGTTTAGGTATAGGGAAACTTTAACAAAGTTACACTAAATTTTAGTGCAGAATGCGAATACGTTAAAAAAATTAGGGGTTTCCATTTGAAAATTTCGAGTTTTCTACATTTTCTGAACTTCATATTCGATCGTATTTTTTGACCACCATGTCTAAAATGGAAAATTTTAATGTCAAATCCGGTCTCCCTCTACAAAATGTACAATTTGCACAAAAAAATAAACCTGTGTTTCCGGGAAAACTTAATTTTGGTGACGGGTCTGCATCTGTCAATTTTTGCTTAAAAATCAAAAAATCTCGGAAATGGTCAATCCTAAATATGAAGTATGCTATATGTTTTAATATATTTAAAATAAGAAAGTTTGTATCGACTTCCGGTATAACCGGAAGTACGATGACCTTGAAAATATTTTAGCATGGTAGGTCCCACCGCCCATATCTCACCATCACAATTTAAAAAAAAATATTTCGAGTAGTTTCCCAGATATCCATCGATGGAGTTCGTGGTGGGTCACCCTGTATAGAATTGTGCATTAACGGTTTGGCCCGATGGAACGAACACTTTGTGGACAATGCCCTTAAAAGCGTAAAAGTAATCAATATTCACTCTTCACTTCTCTAAACGAGATTTGTTGAGTTTCGGCTCGTCTGGCGTCTTCCACTCGACATTTTGGCGTTTAGTTTTTACATCATATTGCAAACATCACGTTTCATCAGCCGTCACAATATTGTAAAGGAAGTTTTGACCCTTTTTGGCCTCCTTGATGATGTCCTTCGACAACTTTTCGGTAGCCCAAATGCTCTGCCAAAATATAATAAATTGATATATTTGAGATGATCACTTCCAATTCCATGAATTTCAATGAAGATTTTGGCTGTTTTTCGATGGATTCACGAACAGTTTTGATGGAATCTGTGGTGATTACGGATTTCGGTTGGCCAATCATTTGTCCTCTGCCACACGATCCATCATCATAAACTTAGTTCATATCTGAAAAGTCCTGTTTAATTTGGAACGCACCCTGTATATGTGACATGTTGTCAGGTTGGAAGTACACCAAATGACAAAAATTTTGTTAAATACAATACTCATCTGTAGCCGCATGAACTATACCTAATTGTGTAGAGTATTAATACATTTTTTTTTTGTTACAGCTTGTCAATTTTATCCCCAAGGAGAGTATTTAAGGTTTGTTCGAGTCCCAGAGAATTTAAAAGTGGGAGAGGAAGTACTGAAAATTGAAGTTTATCCCAGAAATAATTTGAATCTTCAACCTGTAGACAGGGTAAATATAAATACTTAGTTTAGGATGAATTTCTTTTAAATATTATTGACTTAATACTAAAACGTGTCGTAGAAATTAAATGGACAATTTCATATTCACATTAATATTAATACTGTAATTTATTATTACATACTAAAGTAGATCTTGATTTTCGTTAATATTTACTAATGAATGAATGACCTTACAACAAATCTGTTATATATTTTAATTTCTGCTCCAAATTTTCTAAACGGATATGCCAAAATGAGAAAAGTAGCGTAATATATTTAAACCAGTTTTTTATCTAAATACAAATGATCCTAAGCTTAGCATTGAAAAATTCAACTTATCAATCAAGGAAGTAATTCTTAAAAGAATTTTTTATATTTTACTCAAACAATATTTCTACTAAGTAGTCGTAAAAACAAATGATCCATTTCATTCGGCTTACCATGGTTAAGTAGCTATTTACAAAAAATGATAAATGCTTATCATTCGTTTAGAGCTTTCAATTAAATGAAAAAATAAATGAAGTTTAAAGACAAGCAATTATATTACTTTCATAATAATGTCTTAATTATCTCCTGTTCAGTTCCGTCACTAGTATTCCAAATTAATATTGTTGTTTTAAGAATTTCACAGTCCGGATTGCTATGCCGTGGCTTATGTTTTTGGTCGTCCCTAATCACAGCCTTACATTGCACTTCTTTAACCATATCTCGGAATTTTTGACCCGTCCTTGTTATTCTCAAGCCAAGGTCTGTGGGGGTGGAGCCGCTATCAGAATCGCTATGCCCGCCCAAGTGCATTTCGATTCTTGTTATTGATCTAAGATCTTTATGGCTCTTCAGACACTGGTATTTCTCTGAGACGTTCCGTAGTGGCTTCTGTTACTAGTTACATCCAATGACTCCAATCCTTTATTTTTTTGAGTGGCTCAGTCACGGTGTAGTTTTTACAGACAATGAAGAAGGGCGAAACGATTGGAAGCGTTGGATGCGATCAGTTACAAAAGCCACTGCGGAACCCCTCAGAGGACCACCACTAACTGAGGAGTGATCTTAGAACCAATAACAAGAACCGAAATGAACAGCAGGGCAGGCCTAGGGGTTATTATAGCGGATACACAGAGCCTAGGCTAAGAACAGCCGGTCATACATTTCTAGCTATGACTAAGAAGTTGCAATGTAAGTCTGCAACTGACTGCGACCAGGTACATATGCCACGGCATAACATTCTGCTTTAAATAATACAAGGTGCGTTACAACGTAAACAAGACTTTTCAAAAATAGGTATTTTTAGTGAGGCTGTCTATACAGTTACGTGCCTTGGAAAGGTATCTCCTTCACTGATTCACTGTCCAAATTTCATGATATTTGGGCGAATAGAAGCGGAGTTATTGCGGTTGAAGTGACAGTATGTTTGTGTCGTCCGTTGCGTCGGTAAAAAAATGAGCATTGATCAAAGAACTAATATCAAGTTGTGTTTTAAACTTGATATTTACCGAAACGTTTCAATTGATGAATCAAGTTTATGGTGATGATTGATTATCCCGTGGCAGAGTTCATGGACATAAATGTTGAGCAACATGTTGGCCAACCGAAATCCGTCAGATTCCATCAAAACTGTACATGAATTCATCAAAGATCAGACAAAATCTTCATTGAAATTCATGGAATTGGAATTGAGCATCAATTTGTCGCGCTTTGGCTGAACACTTGGGATATCAAAAAGTGTGTGTACGGTTTGTTTTCCACAAGTTGACTGACGACCAAAAATTTCTCAGAATTCAACATTCGAAGTTGGCATTTGTAACACGATGGACCGTACAAATTGCTGTATTGATTCGGCATTTTGAAGAAAATAAACCGGTTTTTCCAATAAAACATTTAGTTGTTCTTATTTTTGAAAAGTCTTGTTTACCTTGGAATGCACACACCTTGTATATGTATGCTACAATGTATATTGTTATAATATTTTCCATTAATATTTTTTAATGAAGACACTTTTTTATTAAAAAGTAATTATTTATCTGATATAAGCATTCCGGATTTTATTGCCCATTAAAAATCTTCGTAGGTCTATCACATATTCTCCATAATGATTTAATAGATATTCCTGGTTACAAACAATTCCTTCGCAACTAGGTAACTGTAACTGCAACACAATGATTTACAATTTGATTTGCATTCCAGGATGAAGACGTCCATTTCTTCACCTACAGAGATATAAATCGCACAACAGTTTCGCTGCTTCTTGCAAAATCCCTTGAGGATCTAGTCGATAACGATAGTCCGAGAAATGTGTTGAAGTTTAAAGTTACTTGTGACTATGATGATGGAGAGGATACTGTAAGTAAAAGAAAAAATCAGCTAGTCTATTATAATTATAAAAGTAGTAATAACAATAATAATGTCCTTATTTAAAACAATTAAACAGCAAGGCACAATGATTATGAGCTGAGCTACTCCTTTAATTTAATATTTTCATAATTATTTTCTTTTTTTTTGTTTCTGGAATTTTATACAGTTCTTATTGAATAACATTAACATATATAAATTACACGGCAGGAGACAAATTAAAAAAATTTAACAGATGAAGTAAACAAAATTATTACATAGAACGAATTGTCACTGTTGCGAGAAACAACTACTCCGAGAGCTATATGCCCCTACCGGCATTGAATTGTACTCGGAACATCTAGTGTAACAGCTAGGATCGTTCGTCAGTTTAACCCACCAGACACAGACCGGTTTCGGACTTATTAGTCCTCATCAGTGTGTCATAGGTGCGACAACCGACAAACGACCCAGCTGTTCTTCGGCGTATCATCACGAAAAGGAAATACATTGTACGCGGGAGCGCAAATGGCTCCATCTGCTACTAAAGCGATCTGCTAACTTGCACGACTGCCACCCACAGAGGGCTACGTCTTGCGAGTATAATTCAATGCCGGTAGGGGCATATAGCTCTCGGAGTAGTTGTTTCTCGCAACACTGACAATTCAAACATTACGCCCTCTGTGGGTGGCAGTCGTGCAACAAAGTACCTGCAGTTAGCAGGTCGCTTCCTACTGTAGCCATTTGAATAGCACAGTTGGGAGTCCGCACGACAGATGGAGCCATTTGCGCTCCCGCGTACAATATTACATAGAATGACAGTAGGACTTGATATTTCTTCTAAAGCGATGTATCAGGAAATTAATTATTTCAATTTTTTAAACATTAATTGTAAGTAAATTATATACAGTGTGTCCCCGGATGTACCTAACTATACTTGTAATTTTCCTTATTTCGCATTTTAAGGGAAAAAGTTTTACTTACAGTGAAAAGTCATACTCAGGCTTTCAAAACAACATACAGGGTGGTTAACAAATAAGGAAACGCGAATTTGTGCCAAGAGAAAAGTATTAGTTTTTTGAGAGGTATTTAAAATGTTACTGAAAGAAGTTTTCAAATGTTAATAGTAGTCCAGATATGAAATTTGAACGACGTATCTCAAAGTTGGTACTTTTGCGAAAATTTATAAAAAAGTCAAGTCCTTGTCAGATAAATTTTTAATAATGTTCGCTCTAGAACAACGAATCTCTTTAGTTAAATGTTACGGTAGTTATAGGTGAAATATCGTACAACGATATAAAAAAGTAAATGTTTGGTGTGCGATATGTTATAAAAAAATTATTAGACCATATTATTTCGACGCAAACGTAAAACAGTTATAGAGATGTTGGAAAACTTTTTAATGCCTGCTCTGGATGATATAAATTTACAGGACAGAAGAAATCTGTATTTTCAACATGGCGGTTGCCCTGCACACAGTGCAATTAGTGTAAGAAACTAGTTAGATCAGCATTTCCACAATAACTGAATAGGACAGTTTGGTCCTATAAGATGGCCTGCAAAAACTTCTTTCAGTAATATTTTTAAATTCCTCTCTAAAAATAAAAAAAAACTCTTGGCACAAATTCAAGTTTCCTTATTTGCTAACCACCCTGTATGTTATTTTGAGAATCTGAGTATGGCTAATGACTTTTTACGACAAGCAAAGCTTTTAATGAAGAATAACTTTTTCCCTTAAAATGTGAAATAAGGACAATTACAAGTATAGTTAGGTTCATCAGGGGACACACTGTATAATGTTGTATAAAACTATAAGGGTATTCAAAGATATATGTGTGATTGTGGAAACAGAACTGGAACCGTGGGCGAAAACCTCGCATTCGTGGGAGAAATTTTCCGACTCGATTTTTTTGCATATTCAGATTCGTGAGATGTTCCTTAACATGAATCGAGATGATGCCGGCCGGAAATCTGGTGCCCATTTGTTTAAACAAGCTTTTCTTAAACAAATTGTAAAAATTGTTTTTTTCACTCCGGAAATTTTTTTGGCACATTATAAACAAAAAAGTTCCTATGCACTATGCCTCCAAAATTGATAGTTTTAAAGTTATAAACAATTTAAGTTGCTAAAAATGCGAAAATGACGATTTTCAACGGCCGATTTCTGGATTAAAAATTGGTATTTTTGATGTTGTCAGATACCTAAATTAAAGTTTAAACATCTCCCTACACGATGCTGAAGAGTTTTTGGAACTCGCATTATTCTAAAGCCTTGTTTTTTAATTGTTAATAAAGCGCTATGTTTTAATTTTATCATTCATATATAATTGAATAAATAATTTCTGTAATATTATTGAGAAACATTTTATGATTACAAGAAGTAACAGTAATTAGAAACTAAGTTATCTCAAATTATCAGTTACATATTGTTTACCACTGGTACATAAAGATGCGTTAATGCAGAAATAAAAGCAAAAAGTAAATATTTAAATATTTTGTACGGTAGTCTCTTTTATTGCATGTAGGTACCGTAGAATCGGCGCAATTACCTTCTGTTAAAGTATTATGGGCAATAAATAATCGTTATAAATGCGACTCAGCGTATAAGTACAGTTTGTTTAAAAATGACATTGACTATACATTTCTGCTTTAATGGAAACTTGATGATATAATACGTGAAAGAAGACATAGTGTAAGTGTTTGGCAGATGCGTGACAGTTATCTCTATGTATCGTATAGTGAAGAGCTTGCTGCCGGCGAACGTTGCATTCGATGTATCTATATTTAAATTTGCCGTACAATTTATGTTGTTTATGGAGATGGTTTCACTTGAACGATTTCAGATATCTAAGTAAATAACAGAAATTGTCGACTACTGAATTTTATTATTCTGTTGCTAAGTTCTTTTGTTTAATTTTAAACAAGTATCCAGGCAGCAAGGTTGAAGAACAATCAATTATTTTAAATGAAAATGAAGCAGGTGTCGATAATACATATAATATGACTCAAAATGTTAAAATTTTGCTGTTTTTCTTATTGTTTAAATGTTCTAGCTCACGTCATTAATCAATGTGTAAAGAAACTTATGTACCTGATCAATAGAAAATGGCAAAAATTATAGAACCAGTTATTTATTTGCCATTTGCTGATTTTTTTTAATAACACTGATTTGATGTCGAACCGCTAATCAGGTTTTTACGTCAGACATAGCATAACATTATCAGTTATTAGTGCTATCATATTGTGTTCCAAACTTGCACCAAATCAATTTTTTTAATGGATACCTATTTGCCCTTTTAACAAAATTTGATTTCAATATTATAAGACTCATTTAATTGCTTTGGTTTATGTAAAATATATCCCTTGTGGGTGTATATCCCCCTTATCTTTTCTACCTTTCTATTCAAGAAAATATAGCGAAAATCACTAATTTGGGAAATATTCTTGTGATTTTAAAGAAACGTAGAAAAACCAATTTACTTTCATTTCAAATGTATAAACCAAATAGATTTTTTTTAACGGAATACTACATATCTGTTGTTTTAAGGACTTCCTCTTTTTTCTGATTACAATACTATACAGGGTGTCTCATAATTAGCTGCCAACCCTGAACAGGCCGATTCTATGATCAAAACTAAGTAAAAAAGTTCATATGAACATGGGTCCGGAAATGCTTCCTAAGGGCACAGGGACCCATTGAAGAGGGAGGAATGGAAATCATTTTTTTGCAATATCTCTCAATCGCGTTGTGATAAATGAATGAAATTTGGTATACACAGCTAAATTTTGATGAGCAATTTGATGGACTAATCCATTTATTTCCACAAGGTCCATTGGGGTGGGTACGGGGGGGCCCTTGGTACTTTGCGTGTGTAACTTTTTCATCTTTGACTTTTTAACAAATTGGACAGCAAATTCCGTTTTCCCGAACTGTTTTACGTTAAAAAGGTACTCTTGTTTCAAATCGTTATCTTTAACGGTTTCTGAGAAAATCGCTCTTGAATTAATCCCACTTTGGTCAATTTCATAGTAATTTAAACAAAATTATCAAGGTATTCTTATGTCAAAGTATTGTCAACCCGATTGCCAATTTAATAGTTCTAAGCGAAAAAAATGGAAGAGTTTACGGGACAAGAGTTAGTTGATATGATATTTATTTATGGCTTTTGCGATGGTAATGCTGCAGCGGCAGAACGCGAGTACGGGAGAAGGTTTCCAAACCGAAGGCTGCCATCAAGGAGGACATTCCCTACGGTATTCCGCAACTTAGCTGCAACCGCCACTTTTCGAAAGGCACCGGGTCAAGGACGTCCCAGGATTAATAGGGAAGCGGAGGTCCTTGACGCTATTGAACAAGATCCTACGACTAGCATACGGAACATTTCAAGGCAAATAAATGTTCCTCGGCCAACGGTACTACATATCTTAAAGATTTCCTTAACAGAATTGATTAGATGTGCTACTAACATTTCAGGTTGGAAGAATATTAAAGCGACAAGGTCTACATGCCTATCACTATCGACGTGTACATGGCTTGATACCAGAAGATTTTGCGCCACGTATGCAATTTTGTCGCTGGATTTTGTCGCTGGACAACGAGCAAGCTTCCAAAATTTTGTGGTGTGACGAAGCTACTTTTACCCGAAATGGAAAATTAAATTTTCATAATTCTCATTATTGGGAAGAAGAGAACCCACATGTTGTTCGGAGAACAAACTTCCAGCAACGGTTTTCCATAAATTTATGGGCGGGAATAATTCACGACACTCTGATTGGACCTATTGAAATTCCACAACGTCTCAATTCAAATCTTTATTTAAACTTACTTCAAGAAAATCTTCCCCAAATTCTCGATGATCTGCCTCTAAATTTACGACGTAACATGTTTTTTCAACACGATGGAGCCCCGGCACATAGTGGTCGCAATGTTCTAAATTTCCTAAACGAAAATTTCGCTGGACGGTGGATAGGGAGGCACGGACCGGTAGCTTGGCCGCCGCGTTCTCCCGACCTAACCCCGCTGGACTTCTTTTTCTGGGGATATCTAAATCAAAAAGTTTACGCCACCGAAGTCGATACCCGTGAGGAATTGCTGCAGCGTATCAATGATGCAGCCAATGAAATTCGTCAAAACCGTTTTAGCATCTTAATAGCTTCGAGAAGTGTTACACGTAGGGCAAGACTTTGTATCAGAGAAGGTGGAGGGTTTTTTGAACAGTTTTTAAAATAGCTTGTTGTCTGTTATCAAAATTAAGTTTCCATCTTATGATCCCTTCGAAAAGTGACGGTTGCAGCTAAATTGCGGAATACAGTGAGGAATGTCCTCCTTGATGTCAGCCTTCTGTTTGGAAACCTTCTGCCGTACTCGCGTTCTGCCGCGCAGCATTACCATCGCAAAAGCCATAAACAAATCATCATATCATAATTGTTCTACATCAATAATGTGTATTACTGATTACGTATTAAATTATTATTATTATTTTTTGTTTAAATTACTATGAAATTGACCAAAGTGGGATTAATTCAAGAGCGATTTTCTCAGAAACCGTTAAAGATAACGATTTGAAACAAGAGTACCTTTTTAACGTAAAACAGTTCGGGAAAACGGAATTTGCTGTCCAATTTGTTAAAAAGTCAAAGATGAAAAAGTTACACACGCAAAGTACCAAGGGCCCCCCCGTACCCACCCCAATGGACCTTGTGGAAATAAATGGATTAGTCCATCAAATTGCTCATCAAAATTTAGCTGTGTATACCAAATTTCATTCATTTATCACAACGCGATTGAGAGATATTGCAAAAAAATGATTTCCATTCCTTCCTCTTCAATGGGTCCCTGTGCCCTTAGGAAGCATTTCCGGACCCATGTTCATATGAACTTTTTTACTTAGTTTTGATCATAGAATCGGCCCGTTCAGGGTTGACAGCTAATTATGAGACACCCTGTAGACATGTTATATATTGTCTCAAAATGATGGAACAAAATTCATATTTTTTTTCAAGTTCAGATTTTAAAAAATCGCCGAAACAGGTCAATTAGTAAATAGAAATGGTCACTTTTTAGCAATATTTTCTACTTTTTTGAGCCATGTTTGACAGACCTATAACATTACCGACATTTTTTAAATAGAACGCTCTATATTTTATAGTATAAGTAGATAGTCCTTCTAAAAACGAATTCAGAGATATAATGTTATACCTACTTTTTTGTCATAGTTATCAAAAAATGGAGGAATTAAATGGAAACAATAATTTAGTACTACTTTTTATTTTATTACATCAAACGTTCAAAGTGGCACCCATTAACCATTGCAGAATGCACAATTCGGTGTTCAAAGTTATCAATTACATTTTGAATAATATTTGGTGTTGTTTCTAACTTCTTCTCTGATACGATTTTTCTATCCTTCAATAGTATCTGGTCTGTTCACATACACTTTTGCTTCTTTGATAACTCCACAAAAAAAAATCTAGTAGGATAAAGTCAGGGGAGCGTAGTGGCCATTCAAGCGGGCCTCTTCTGCGTATCCATCGATCTGGGAAGACTTCATTAAGGTAATTTCTTACATGTAGTCGAAAATGTGGAGGGGCACCGTCTTGTTGAACTAGCAGGCATATGCTCATTAGGGCTAGGAAAAATTAATTCCAGGGCTGGAATCAGCTGAAAAAACAAAAAAATACAAATAAATGTCGCCTGTCGCTCTCAAGGTCCTGTTTTTTTCCAGCCGTTGTGTATGTTTTTCTTGGATCCAATGCGGATTTTCTAGGCTCCAAAACCTGCTTGTTCACGGTTCCGTTTAAGCAAAAATTGCTTCGTCAGTGAAAATTATGTTTTTTTAAGTTGGGTTGTATTTCTAATAAATTGCTCCTCACAAAACTATAATCTTCTGTCTGTGTCATCTGCTCATAATTCTTATAAGACGTTAACTTTGTAAGGATGCCACTTTTGAGAATTCAGAGTTCTGTGAACTGAGGACTTCGACAAGTTGAAGTTGGGTCACAATGAGATAGATCTAGTGGTTGAGTGAGGATTTTCAGGAACTTCTAACATCACATTTTGACGGTAATTTTCGCTTACCGTTCTTCGCCTTCTTGGTCCAATCCAATCAATAAATTTTTATACTTCCGGTTTCTTCAAACTTTTTGGATATTTTACTCGACTAATTCTCTGGTCTGGATACTTATGGTGAAATAACATAACTCCTGTTGACTACCGATTTTATCTCTGCATCCAATTAGAATTTCCCTGTTTTTCGCCTAAACGGGCAACCATTTTTCAAAATAAAATAACAATGAATGAATTGGAACTAAAACGATTCACGTTATACCTAAGGTACTCTGGTGCATTTTATGTGTTTTATTTTGAGAAAAAAGCTTTAAAGTAAGTAGAAAAAGATTAATAAAGAGTAGGTACGTTTTTATGTTTTTACGTAAATTTCTGAAATCATCCCTTAATTTCTAGCCACCCTAACTTTAATGTTAATTTAATAGTACAAGAAAAAGACAAAGGACCATTTTTATGTAGAATTGTATGCTACAACTTTTATAAGAAACTTTTTTTCTAGGTTTACCCCCCCTTGAGTTATCAGACAAGTAAATTGGGATTTTAAAGAGTATTTCCACTAGTTTTACCTTTAATTAATTTATCACTCATTTAGGTAAAAGCAGATATCTAGAAAATAAACATAATTATCTAAATAAGAGCCTATTTAGGTAGAAAGTGATGTGCTTTACCATTCGTTTTTACGACAATTACACAAATAACTGAAAATATTTAAGTTGATACTACACTTAGGTACACAACTTATTAATAAGTATTAAAAAATTTCTAAATAACGTTCTAACTTTCAGCTGCCTGTACCTCTTAAACCGTCAACATTTATATGTGCCTGAATTATAATATTTTAATCTTTAGTATTCTTAGATATCCTGTTTTTAATTAAACATCTTGTATATAAAAAAAAATACGTTAGGCCCATTTAAACCGCTACACACAAGGGAGTGAAAAGTTTTTAGTTTGTTTTTGCTTAGTGTACTGGATGATCCATAATTCTCTTTTTATTGCGACTTACTTCTTTACTATGAATATACTTGAATGAGGCAAATAGAGAGCGAGTGTAAAAAACGAAAACAATTGAATATAAATTTTTTAAAATAGGTATTACAAAAATAAAGAATTTTCATTTTAATTTTAGCATCATACATTTGAAAAGCATGTTCTGGAAAACAATTGTTAAGATGTATTAAGTCTTGTTTTTTTTAATAATAATAATTGGCTTAGTGTACCAAAGCCTGCTATAAGCAGTACTGTAAAATTTTTAAGTATGTGCTTGTAGTATATATTTCTAGAAAACCATAAAATAATGACAGAAATTCTATACGAGGTCAGCAAAAAGTAAGTAACGAAAAAGTTTGTACTGTGACTATATTATTTTCTCCAAAAAAAAAAAAAAATGTTTTTTCGAATGTACCTATACAGGGTGTAACTAAATAAGTGTAAAACATTTAAGGGGGTGATTCCTCATCGAAAAAAAGATAGGATCTTTCATATAAAGAAACTTCATTGGAGCATCCCTTGTTAAGATACAGCTCATTACATAAAATGTGTTTAACAATTTTTTTCACAAGCACTAAACAAGTTACAATATTGAAATTAACCTGACATTTTCTACTACCAAAAAGACACTTAGCCAGTAATTTATTTGGTTTACCCCATGGTTGTAAGGGGTGGAAAACGCAACCCCTAAAATTTATTTCCTACGTAACTTTTTGTCTTATTATTTGTTTACCATTTAAAAATTTATTTCCGATAGCCTGTTTCATTCTAAAAAAAAAATGTCTTGAATTTTTTGCCCAAAATAAACCAGTTCGCAGAAAAAAATTATTTTACGAACACCCTGTATATTTTTATTTTGTTGGTATCATGGTAGTTCTGCCTCGGTTATGAACAAATATACTTCCGCCATCTGAAAATCCTGATTTACTCTCAGACCGATTTGCGACTTCCAACGTCCATCAAAAGCACAATACTCCCAGGTCTAAGCATTAAGAGATACATAGATACACACAAGTGCACCCGATTGCGGCATGCTCATGCATTGTTTATTTTGTATGCAGATTACATCCTCCTTGTCCGTCACGGTCTACGTCGAGGATATCAACGACCATGCTCCCGTTTTCGAGGGCGCCCCCTATCACATTGACGTGGACGAATTAACCCCTGTTGGTAAGTTATTTAACAGTTTGTACCATATTTTTAAGATTTTTTATTATATCGTTATTTTTTAAAAAAAATTCTGCAATATATAGGATGGTACAAAAATAAGTCTTTCAAGATATGGTATGTCCAACTTGCAATTAAATGAAAATTATTTTATTAATAACTATTGGTATTGGTTTTTAAGATATTAAGTGTAAGCAATTTTGAAAAAAAAATCGTTACGCCAACGAAGGAAATTTTATTATTTTAGTTTATAAAGTTACTTTTTTTTGTTTATTTTAGACTGCGGCTAGATCCTAGCATTCTTAAAGAAATTTGATAAATATTCTTCTATTTTAGATACTTAATCTAATCAGAAAAATTCGAATAAATTTATATTAAGATTTAAGTTCGCTCCATTCCGATATCAATAGTAAAAATAAAGGCAAACAAAAAAAAATTATATTCAATATCTATACCATGTATGAGGATATTCACAAAACATTCTACGGCCTTATTTTTTTCTGACACCGAAAAAATAGTAAAAAAATCGTCTTATAGAGGATACTTTCAAGTTTTCAAATCCGCACGTTTTAATTATGTTTCTCCCTCATATGAAATCCTGCGTTTCTTTTAGGATGCCCCTTATGTACAAATTTAAAAAAAATAGAAATTTAGAAAATTGGTCAAGAATTTATTACAATTTGCTTATTTTTGTCAAAGTTTTGTACATATTATATGAATAACATCAAATTAAAATAATGTATGACACATTCCTTTTAATATTGATTTTTCATGATACGATATTGATTTGATTGAATTTATAGTAAATAATTATCAAAACATTAAATGTGTTCTATTTTGCTTCAACTCGGAAAGTAAATAATAATTTTTATAGAAAAAAAAAAACAGATTTATTTAACAAACATAGTATATCTGCAGAATTAAGATAAATAAAGATCCTAAAATTTAACCTCAAAAACTGGCGAACTACACTATTCTTGATTTACACTAACCCCATCTGTAAATTATTTATATAATAATTAAACTAGGGTGCCTGCTAAAATAAAAAATGACAAACGTCATTACGGTATGTCGATAACTTTTAAAAGTATTAGCATAATTTATATTTAAAAAAAGGAATAGAATAGATCTATTCATAGAAGAAAAAATTAATTTTGTAATATTCTGTTAACTGTAGAAGTTAAATTTACCTATTTCAGTTCTTAAGGAAAGCGGTGTATTTTGGATATAATGTATACAGGGTGTGGCGTGTATAATCTATAAAAATTAAACTACAGCTTCCTGATGATGGTTGTAATAGAAAAGTTTTATACGAAAAAGGTCTATCTTCCGTTTATTTTTGTAAATTAAAGTTAATTTATTCAACGAAAATGAAGGCCGACCCTGTGTTATTTATTAAAAACTTTGGAAATGTTTTATGCGACCCGAGATGCAACCTTATAATTTAAGTCAGTATAATCTAATACTAGTAATACTAAAAGAAGATTAGGTTACATTATCAAAAAATTTGTGCAGTCAACTGATTTTGTATTTGTATTGGATTCATTATTCATTTAATTATTAAATATTAGGCATCATCCATCGACCTATCGGTGTTAAAAAGTGAAAGATTCCAGACAAAAGTTTTTATTTTGTAATTCCACGATAATAGTGACAGTGTAATTTTTATAAAGAAGTAAAAAATAAGACTAGCGTGCCGATTACATTAAAAACAAGATCCTTATTTCTTACTTTGCTTAATTTTTTAGTTTGTGCTCAAACTAGTTTTACAATGAACCGAGAAAACAGTGCATTTACTATATCCGGACGTGTCGATATGGTGTTAGTGTATGGTGCAGCCAGAGAAAATGCGCTCGCGGCGACTAGGTTGTACCGGGAACGATGGCTACAACGTCTCCCACCATGTGCAAATACAATCCTACAGTGCGTTTAGTGGCTGCGAGATACGGGAAGTGTTATTCCTCGAGGAGAAGGATGTGGTCAGCAAGTAAAGATTAATGGTGAAGATGTAGTGTTTGAAAATCTTGACGAAGGCCCCACAATTAGTACTCGACCATTCGCACAGCAAGTAGGGACCTCATCTCGTACCGTACATCGCATCTTAAGGCGCCAGCTGTTGCACCCATATCATCTGCAACCAGTTCAACAGATTGTACCCCCGGATTGTGATCAACGAATGCGTTTTTGCAGATGGTTTTTACCGCAATGTGCCAATCAAGTAAATTTTCCAGCTTATGTTGTGTAACGGATGAGGCGAAATTTACCCGTGATGAAGTGAATTTTCATAATATGCATATATGGGCCGACGAAAATCCTCACACGGTTAGAGAAACTCATTTTCAACATCGGTTCTCGGTAAATATTTGGGCTGGCATAATAGGCGATGTACTTGTGAGTCCTTATTTCTTTGAAGGACGACTAAATGGACCAATATATGTTGAGTTTTTGGAGAACCGGTTGCCTGAATTATTGGACGATGTGGCATTACAAGTTCGGGCACGCATGTTTTATCTTCAAGATGGAGCTCCTCCACACCGTACTCGAGAAGTAACGACAATTTTGAATGAAGTGTTTCCTCAGCGATGGATTGGACGCTTTGGTCCTGTGCCGTGGCCACCTCGGTCACCCGATCAAACTCCAATGGATCTTTGGAGTCACTTGAAGTCATTGGTTTACAATACTCCAATTGCTACGGTGGAAGAATTGCGAAACCGTATACTTGAAGCTGCTGACACAATTAGGGGAATACCTGCAATTTGGAAAAATATTCGCCAAAATTTGGTACGTCGGTGTCATGCCTGTATCCGCGCTAATGGGGATCAATTTCAACATTTTCTCTAGAAATGGTAAGTTTTATTTCATTTTGTTCCATATTTTAATGGAGTTTGTTTAGTACAGATGCTTACAGATGTGGCTTTGTTTGCGAACTCTTGCAGTAACAACAATGTATTTAAGATAGTAATTACTATTAATTATTATAATAAGAAAATATAAGTTTTTTTTTTAAATATCTATTTTTCTTAGTTTGTACTTTTGCATTGGAAAATTCCCCAAAAATTGAGAAGTATATTTCTATGACGATTTGTTTACGCGGCTGGTCTACAGCACGTAACTCATAGGACAGCATACAGACGGGACCGTTCCAGAGAAAATATTTTGAGCCATAATTGAACTTTAATTTAGGAAAAAAAAAACGCAAAAATATAACTTTTTCTATTACAAATATCGTTAGGAAGCTGTAGTTTAATTTTTATAGATTATACACGCCACACCCTGTATATTAAAATTGTTGAACTTTCTTACTACTATACGAAATTTATGCTTATGGGAGGAAATTAAGTATTTATTTCACAGGAAAAAAGCTACAAAATTCAAAGAAATAACAAGATTCCTCATTAACCTACTGGAAAGCTTTAGGTATACATGCTATTTTCCTTACTATTGGAAAATTTACATCAAAGCATATTAAATTCAATCGGATTTTAAATTAGCAAACATACAAACAGACCATCCGTTACGTTAGGGATACGGGATATTTTTATTCAATGGCCTGAATGTAATAAGCTTATTAATATAAAAGAACTGGTTTCGTATAAGGATGCAATTTAGTAGCAACAGCTGCAACTATGGCACGTTCTATGAGGCAAATGCACAAAATATAATTTGTTATCAGGAAGCAATGTTCCTGTCAGGAACAGTATAATAATTACATTACTAAATTCTCTACATTATGCTGGTGTTCTAGTCACGTTTTAATCAAACGTAATAAGATTTCTTTTAGTGCTTTCCAAATAAACAGTAACTCGTTAATTTCAAATTCCTGCGAGACAGTAATGGCAGGCTATAAGGAGAAAACAAAGAATTCATAAAAAAGTAGCTCATAAAATGTAACAGGAAGAAGTTCTGGTCAACCGAAACATTGTATCAAAACGGGTAGTTCAAATAGAATCATCAGACGTATAATTTGTAGGTATGGGTTAAGTAATACAGGGTGTGGCGGTTGGTAGTTTTATTGAATTAGACAGATGATACTGTTTTAATTATTTTGTGACATAAATTGTGAATTTCTAAAACACTATTAGTTACTTATATAACCTTGTTTTAATTTATCGCTATTTCGTAATATCAAAGATGGATAATTCATTAGAATGTTAATGTATTTGACCCAAATTACTTAATTTTAGATTTCAGAATTTATTTATCTTTTAGCACGTGCTTTTACGTTAATGTTTTTTCGGTATTATATAAAACAACCAGTAAATATACATTTTTTTCTAGTACAATTCTAAATTTAACATAGTGCGACAATAATAAACGATTTTATAGAAAGTTAAATAATGAAGCACATATAGCACATATATCTGATCTTAACTATTAGGTGAGAAAAGTACATAAAATTTAAAACCTACATAAAACTATTGGGTGGATAATAACATGATGGAATCTTATCAGATGAAATAATTTACATGCTTGTACATATGTTAATAACATAGATTAGATATAATTAGCTATATGTGGGTTACAAATGCATATACTAACGTATTAAAAATGAAAAAACATTTACTTCTTCCAAGTTTAAATATATAAGGTGCGTCCCAAAGTAAGTACCTAAACAGGACTTTTCAAAAATAGGAACAGCAAGTTTTCTTGTCAAGTTATGTTATTCAAAATAGTCACCTTCCTGATCAATACAGCGATTTGCACGATCTAAAAGCATGTTGAATGAGTGTTTTAGATCGTCCACCTGAATGTTCCTCAAAATATCGGTAGTACAATCCTATTGGATGGCTTCTACGTCGACAAACACTTTGCTTTAGGCAAATGCATTTTTCTAAACGGTGCCAAATCAGGTGAATATGAGGAGTGGTTGACAGTTAAAATGCGATTTTTAGTCAAAATATTGGTCACAAGTGTCGATCGATGAGTAAGGCACGACATTTTTAGTTCATTTCCACTAACGTACGGCTGGTTAGGTACGCCACGCCACCGCGTGCATGTAATGTTCCAGATATTTGCCAGAGCTCCAGATTTTTAATACGGAACCGGGTAATCATTTCACAATATTATAAAATTATTTATTATAAACGCACAAACTGAAATGTCGTGCCTTATCGATGAGATGGCGCGTTATCGTACAACAAACGCCAACTTCCTTCTGCACAACGAATACGATGCACCAAACACTTCAAAGCGCCAAGATAGAATTGTGCGTTAACAGTTTGGCTCGGTATAACGAACTTTTTGTGGACAATGCCCTTGGAATTGTAAACGAAAATCAACACTGTATTCACTTTTTACTTCTCCAAACGAGTTATTTTTTTGGGTTTTGACTAGTCTGGCGCCTTCCACTCGGCACTTTGGCTCTTGGTTTCTGGATCATATTGAAAACACCACGTCTCCCCACCAGTCACAATGTAGTAAAGGAACTTTTTGTCCTTCGTGGTCTCCTTGATGATGTCTTGCGAATGTTGGGTTCTCAGCAATTTTTGGTCCTCAGACAATTTGTGAGGAATACATCGTGCACACACTTGTCTGTAGCCCAAGTGTTCGACCAAAATGCGATAAATTGATGTTTTTGAGATGTCCAATTCCATTTTCAATGAAGAACTTGCGGTGATCACGGATTTCAAACGTGTTGTCATCACAACCGTTTTTAAACCGCGTATACCACTCACGAACTCTGGGATAAAGATCATCACTATAAACTTGGTTCATCAATTGAAACGTTTTAGTAAATGTTTTACCAAGTTTAAAACAAAGCTTAATAGTAGCTTTTTGTTCGATGCTCATTTTTCTGCCGATGACACAAACATACTGTCATTTCAGACGCAATAACTTTGTTACCAAACATCACGAAATTTTGACAGTGCAACAAAGACGCATGTAATTGCCAAAAAATGGCCTCACTAGAAATAGGTACCTATTTTTGAAAAGTTCTGTTTAATTTGGGACGTACCTTGTATCTTCGGGTATCCTAAGAAAAACAAACCGGTCTAATTTATTTAACTTATGATGAAAAACTAACTTCTAAGTGAAATTTGACTTTGGTTAGGTCTTCTTTCTCTTTTTCGTTTTGAGTTATTAGCCGAAAAATTGAAAGATTTGATTTTCGTTTTTATTGTTTTAGTCGAAGAGGTGGATTCTGTAAGGAATTCATATCTGTAGCTGTTAGCTATGGACGAAAAAATGGTAAACAGCTTTTGTTTTTCTTACGAGCGCCCTATTTAATTTTTGCATTTTTGAAATTAGCACCTTCTTCTCACTGCAGTGATGCGCTATTTGATGTGTTTACTTTTTTGTTTTCTTTTAAATTCCAAACAATTAATTTTTGCAGAGTTTGTTGAAAATAACACATCCAACTATTCCCTCAAACCACGTTTTAACAATTCAGTTAAATTTTCTTTGACAGAGTTAAAGATCAAGCTATTTAATCACTTAAATAACTAACATGAAATACTCGTAAGAAAAAGAATGGGATATGGTTCAAATTATTGATTAACTACTTTCAAGGATATCTGACTTTATTTCAGGTATATTTTTGGTTATCTGAAATTCGACATAGTCAGCGAAAATGTTAACCAAACGGTCAATTTCATTTAAAGTAGTCGTTTTTACGCAAAGCGCTCTTTGTAAAAATGATAATTTGGTATTTTAACCAGGAAAAAAGCTGTATCATTAAAAGCAGAAAGATGCGCGAAATTAAAAATATTGATTCCATCCAGGTTTGCCAGCAAAAACCTGCTTTAACAACTTATGAACCGATTATGAATCGAAATCAAAATTTTCTGTTTTTCTTCTCACTACAGGAATCTCGAAAACGGTAAGAGATACAAACTAGCTTAAATGAGGGCAAAGTTGCGTAATCAGGGGACCAACATTATGCCTCTAAAAAATCAAGGCTAACATGATTAGTCTTCGAAATATTTGACAAAAACCGAAATTTTGGAAATCCGTTTTTGTTTGATTTCAGCCTTGTTTGAGGAGATATTTGAAATAAGACGAACACTTTCTCATAGCCACTTTTTGCTCCCTATCGAATGGCGTAAACATTTTTTATATATAACGTTTCCTCTATCCAGGACCATCATCAACTTAATTTTTTAAAATACAACCCTGGAAATTTTATTACATTTTTTGCAACCCTTCATGACCCCCCAATACTGTACTGCCTCAGCCCTAACCAGATTCAGACGTTTTGTCTCGAAAAAATCATCTTCAGTGTATTAGATTAGATAAATTTGGAACGAATACACTGAAGATGAATTTTTCGAGACAAAACGTCTGAATCTGGTTAGGGCAGAGGCAGTACAGTATTGGGGGCCATGAAGGCTTGCAAAAAATGTAATAAAATTTCTAGGGTTGTATTTTAAAAAATTAAGTTGATGATGGTCCTGGATAGAGGAAACGTTATATATAAAAATTGTTTATGCCATTCGATAGGGAGCAAAAAGTGGCTATGAGAAAGTGTTCTTATTTTTTCAATATCTCCTCAAACAAGGCTGAAATGAAATAAAAACGGATTTCCAAAATTTCGTTTTTTTTTTCAAATATTTCGAAAACTAATCATGTTAGCCTTGATTTTTTAGAGGCATATTGTTGCCCCCCCTGATTACGCAATTTTGCCCCCATTTAGGCTACTTTGTAGCTCTTACCGTTTCCGAGATCCCTGTAGTGAGAAGCGAATTTGTAACAGCCTGTATATATAATTTATTCGTCATCAAATTTCCTAACTTTGCCCTAATTTGATCACCTTTGTCTGCAGACGCTCGAAGCAACCTGTACATACTGAAATTGATAATATTATTACCTCGATTATCATCAGAGTTCGAAAAAATGAGTCAAAATTACGTAACTGAATTCATATTCAGTATTTTGGATTTTTTAAATATAAAATTTCCACATTTTTTAACAGATCCTTTTTCAACACGTTCTTATGGACATTATGATCCCCAATTCGATATTTAATATCATTAAAAATTTTGGAATCGTTCTGTGCAAAAAATTGGTACAAAACATTTAACTATTTTTGGCCGTAGTTGGCACTGTCATTAACAACTTTGTCGTAAGTTACCATTGTTTTTTAATTGCAATTCATTTCGTATTCAATAAAGTCGCAAGTGCGTAACTTAATTATTTTACCGTAATTTTACTACTATATGTTTACGCGTACAGCAAATTTCAATATCCTAATTAAAAGATTGTTTCCGCATTGATGTGTTTTTTTTTAGGTCTGACGGTATTCCGAGGAATTCGAGCAGCAGACCACGACAAACCGAATACGCCCAATTCAGACGTGCAATATGCAATCGTCGCAGGAAACGAACGAGGCAAATTTGCACTTGAGAGTAGCCACCAGGCCTTCCTCATTCTCCGCAAATCTCTGGATTATGACAGCGGCGACAGGGACTTCCTGCTTACCATCACGGCGTCGGTGAGTTCAAAATTACATTGTTTAAAAATGTGTGGGTGACGGAATTCTAGCATACCATTGTTTCTATAAAAGAAAAAGGGAGCAGTTGTAATGAGTAATAAGACAAAAACCAATGTTTTGTTCAATGTTTCGTAATTAATTACTCTCAGCTAGAGAGCAAGTTCAAGTAATAAAAAGTTTGTTGCGGTTTTGGTTTCCTTTTATAATTATCTGTTTATACGAAGTGGCAAGAAATAGTGTAACATTTTAGGGGGCCGATATTACTTGCCAAAACCAGAAAAATGTCTCCGCGGTGTCAAAAAGTTACAGTTACTTGAATTTCAATAACAAAAACCAATTCAATAAATTAGTTTGCAGTTTTCGTGGCAGTTGTTAGTGCTTGTTTAATTTCTAGACTATCACGTCGTTGATGTTCCGAGAGACAATTTTAGAAAAATTTGTATTAGCTGTATGCACTAGTTTTGGCGCATGATTTCAAATCATAGGATCACCGACCTATGTTCTCATCTTACGTATGAGTGGCTTCCAAATTTCGGGTAGTTCTAATCGTCGCCTCGATTTCAATAACCTGTTCCTCCCTCTTACACTAAAATTCTAATATTTCATAGACCTATTGAGTATTCTGTTCTTCGTAATTGCTGATTTATCAACATTGTTTTTCTTTAAATAATATTTCTTTAGCCTTGTACTAACGTGTCTCCTTGTTTGCAATACATAGATTCTGAGCTTGTCTTGGGAAAGCTGTGCCGATCTTCATTAACATCAATCATCTATTAGATGGTATCAATATTTTAATTTTTTAAAACGATGGTTTGTGTAATATTTCTGCCAGAAGAAATCTATATTCCTCTTAAAGGTAAGAAGATAATTGGTGAAGTAGTTCTTCATCCAAGTGTTCTGAATCGCAGATGGCGGAGATGACCTATTAATATGTTAATCATACTTTATTTCTGGGCTGGATATAAATATATACTTGAGGAATTTTCACTTTCTCAATTTCTTTTGAAAGGAGCGTTGTTTCTGGAAATAACAAGAAGTCTATACTAATGACGCCACGATCATCTCGGAAATTGTTTAATCCATTGAAGGAATTGTACAAACTCTAAGTTTACTTTCTACTATGATTTTACAATAAAATAGTTTTAAGACTACTGGTTTAGAAAATAGTCTCAAATTCCTTATACAATTATAAGACTACTACTTTCGGAATTTACATTATGCACCTTCAGCATCTTCAGGTCACTTTTAAGGATTTAAGTTGTTAAGGAAATTATGTTTATTAATTTATGAAAAACTTAAATCCTTAGCAGTTAGCTAAATATGGGATGCGTGCTGTAGATCTTGAAACTAGTGGTCAAATAATTATCTGTTAATAAAAAGAATTGTAATGGATTTAAGATTCTCTTTTATAAAATCAGAAAACCAACTCACATTTATTTCGGTATGAGAAATGTATATAAATCTACTTCAATACTCCAAAAGTTTGAACAATTAAAAAATAATAAGGAAAACATACTCTCGCTCTAAATTAATTTTTAGGTATCCCAGCGTGAATAATATTTAAATGGACTCTATTTTTGCGACAAATTTGTAAACTAATTTTTTTCATTAAACAAGTTATTATTCACACATGTAAACACCATTTTTCTGTCACCGAAAAAATATAATATTACAAATTAAATTATATACAATTTATTTTACACACTAAAGTGTGTGTCATATTAAATGAATCAATGTGAAGCAGTTAGATTTTACATTTACTACATACACTGTAGTAAAAAAAAATATGTCACCACGGAATTTTTTTGAATGAGATAGGGTGGAACGGAATTTTATAAAAAATTACGAAAAGCTTAGTGGAAAAATAAATCTTAAACTTTGTTACACTCTTACACACTGTGTTAGTTCATAAGAAAACTAATTGTATGACGTATCAATTATAATGCGAAATTAAATACTAATGTAATAATCTAAATGTTGTTAAATTACTTATTTAAGTTAATTCTTTTTAATAACTTTTTCATAATTCTTCAATTTCATAATTTATAATGCAAATTGGTACGAGGTAATTTAATATCAATTAATAAATCTATAAGAAAATAGTTTCCACATTGTTTTAAAATGATCGTGTTTCAGCTTTATATAAAAAGTACAATTATACGTTAATTTAATATCAATTAAAAAATCTATGAGTAAATTATCAACTCACGTTGCGGATTATAGTAAAATTTTAAAAGTACGTAAAAGTTTCCCACGAAATACAGAGGAATAAAAAAAGACCTGATTTTGTTAAATCTAAATGTTCATAAATTACTTATTTAAAACGTTAATTCTTTTTAATAACTTTTTCATAATTTTTCAGTTTCATAATTTATAATTTAAATCAGTTCTGAGGCGTTAATCTAATATCAATTAATAAATTTAATGGGTTGGGGACTAGGTAATGTCCGTTTTTTTCAAATTTAAAAATTCACAGGAAAATTAAACGCATGGTCAAATCGACACTTGTTCGAAAGCTTGCTCCTATCAGATTGTGTTTTTGGTTGCTTCGTTAAATTTAATTTTTGTGAAATATCATGTTGATAAAATTGAGCATTTCCGGCACTTGCTTCTTCTTCTTCTTCTTTGTGTCGTATATGGTGATGAATGAACGAACGACCCGTCAGATTTACGTGTTTTAAAGGTAAATTCAACAACGACATGAATCGTTCCGGATGCCCGGTTGAATTTGATGAAGAGCATTGAATCGTCACAAATATCCAAGACAATCAACTAGGGAACTGGCTGATGAGATTAGATGTGATCACAAAACTGTTCAAACACTCGAAACTTGGACCCCATATGTCTTGAACGAAAACAATAATAATCAACTCTCTGCAATTGCCGCTGGTTTTCTCTGTCGTATGTCGTCATATATCAACAAATGGTTATACGGAACGTTTTCTTCATTGTATTGTCACTGGTGATGAAAAATGGTGTCTGTACGTTAACTTGAAACAGCGGAAATAATGGTTAAGCTCCAAAAAAAAAACAAGCAACTCCGCGAACAAAACCAGAATTTCATCATCGAGAGACAATGTTATGTTGGAAAGGGATTCTTTATTATGAACTCTTACCAAACAATCAATCCATCAACGTGGAACTATGTCCCAGAACTACGGCAATATGACGTTCTATTGCAATATGATAATGCGCGCACACATATAGCCAATATGACCAAAACGGCCATTGGGGACTTGAATTGGGAAGTTCGGACCCACCCGCCTTACTCTACTCCAGCGTCTTTTGATTTTCACCTTTTCCGCTCTTTGTAAACCCCTTGAGTTAAGAGCTTTGTTGGATGAGTTTTTCTAGTCAAAACTGGAGGATTTCTACAGAAGAGGAATCGAGAAACTTCTTCAACGTTGGGAGGAGGCCATAAATAATGATGGAGAATACATCTCTTATTAGCGTATTGATAAAGGTATAGTTAAAATAAAATATCTTAAATTTGAAAAAAAAACAGACAATACTTATGCCCCAACCCAATAATGTATAAGCAATAATTTCAACTCACGTTGCGGATTATAATAATAGAATTCTCAAATTATTATTTATTTCCATGAAATTCAACGGAAGACTTAATTTTGTTACAGCATATATTGGATTAAAATACTTTAACTGGCTATAAAATTCTGCATTCCGAGGTAACAATTAAAAAGAATCGGAATCAGTCTTTATTATTCAGTATTCTGCATAGTTTTCTTAAGAATTGCTGAACACAATTTATTGGATAACCATATTGTTACAACGTTGCGGTTGTTTCTTAAGCTATTCGAATGAATATTTCTAAGGATTACGAAAATTATTCATTCGACAATGTGGAAAGTAAAGTAATAGATGTGTTAATGATGCATTGCGAAATATTTAAATTGAACGAGTTGTTTTGAAATTACAATTGCAGTGAGATATTATATCTTTTAACACCTTGATTATTTTATGCCTCCTTTGAATGCGGACTATCCCATAATTTGTGTGAATAATTGATTTCAAAAATATAGGAAATGAGTTCTCATGTCTACATATTTATTGAGAAAAAAGTACAGTGTATTTTAGAAAAGATGTCAGAGGTTGGTAAAACATGGAATATAATATGATTTTTTTCTGTGGCCAATGGGCCAAACCTCATTTGTTATTGAGATGGCATTAAAGATTTATATTTAAAATTAAATATTCACCACATATTTTACGAAAAAGCACTGACATTTAGTGCGTGAAAGTTTTTGAGACTGCTGAATTTAGCAATGTTATTAATTTTCGGCTAGGGGTAGGGACTTTTTAGAATATTATTTTTTGGGGTTAATTAATAAAATCGTACTTTTCCCTTAAAGTAAACCTCAAAGTGAAAAAATGTCAAGAGATTTTGCCTTTTTAATATTGAAAAATGAAGAAACTAGAAGAATGCAAATTTATACACAATTAAAATTTATCTCCATTTACCAAATTTGAACATAATCGGCCTATTTATACATATTTTTTTAATTTAGAACATTATAATTTTTCTTTTACTAATTTTAACATATTAATAAATTTGAATTCTGAACAACTTTCCTTAATGAAATTCTTGATATTGTTTGTATTTTTTATTCGTAACAAAGTCTACTTAAAATTTCAGAAATGAAAATAAGCTACAGATTAATTATTTAACTAAACCGAATCATTTCTCAAAATAAGTGTCAAATTTCCATCGAAATATTTTTTGTCCTCGCCGTCAATGGTTGATGATCTGGTGACACTGTACATATTAAGTGTTCAACAAGGATTGATTATTTGTGAAATTCTTAACTGACATTACATTACATTATAAAGTTAAAATTATAATTATAAGCTCCTGAATTTATGGTATCTTGCTTAAAAACACTCTGTATGACTTTGTCTTGATTTCTTACCACTCTTATAGGTGGTCAGATTTTAAGCCTGACATTAACATACACAAGGTTCATTAAAAATGTACTCAATTG